GCAGCTCTTGGGAGTGATAAAGAATTTTGACATGGTGCCTCATATTCAGTGGGTTACAGAATGACATAGTTCATGTCTAAAAGTTGGAGGTAATACTGAAATAGAATCTAGTAGTATTTCATGATAATTAATTCAATATGACTGTATCAAATTCCCTACCACCAAAAACTTCAGATTTGAAAGCTGAATCCTGATTAAGCACTCATGTATGATGGTTATGAAGAAGTGATACTCCAAGTGACAGCCATATTACTAATTAAGAACTCCAGCAGGAGAAAAGGCCTCTTAAGCAGTTCAGAAAAACTAATGAACTTCAAGCAAAAACGTCCAAGAAGATAATATTCTCATCTTCATCTTTTTCCTTTTTTCCTTCACAAATTCTTAGTGAAGGAAATTGAAAACAGTGAAAATGTTTTTATTATGAATCTACAATAAACAGATTTCCTAAACATTTGTCATCTAACACCCACCAGTTGTCAACTCTCAATTTCCTTCTGATAATTACCATTTTGTAGTTCCATTTTTTTCCCCTAAGAGTTCATATAATTGAAATTTTTTAATAAAGCTTTTCTTGGCACCTGATTCCAAATATACGGACAAAAGAAGAGGGAGCAATGCTAGCAATGAAAAGTCCATTACAAAAATCTAACTCACAGAAGCTAAAAGCTGCCCCGTTCCCTGGGACAGTATCTCCAATAACTCCACAGTATCCATTGGAAAGGTTTCCAAAGATGGAGAAATGAATGGTATTTTTGCAGATCATATATCTCCCCTTGAAGTAAAGGCCAAAACAGAGATCCCAGAGTTACTTCACTAGGATGCACTATCCACTCAGATGGACAAAACCATCAAGGTTCCTACCCCAGATGAATACCAGTTTGTATTAATGGGATACGTTAGCTCAAATTGGATCTCACTGAAATCCTGTTAAACTGCTCTGAATCCCAAACCACCCACAGTGCACCCCTGTGCTCCATGCTCCTCAGTACTTCCATCTTCACAAGCCTTGAAGACTGAAGGTGTACATACTACAACTGTAGCCTGTCCTAAAAATTCAGTTGAATTCTTATTTCTGAAGAGAAGTATATTCTTTTAGTAGTTGAAGATGCCTAGCTGATTATGCTGGAAGACCAAACTCATTCTGACAACACATATAAGATGCATTTCTGTAAAGTCTGAAGATGAATAGAGAGTTAGAAAAAACTGAAATGAGATGAAGATGAGTAGAATTACAATAAGCATGTCAAGTTAACGTCACTCTTGAAACAATAACTTGCTCACTAACAATGTTCGTCCACCTTTTGAGCAAGCCAGTATTTAGTCCAGCTTAACAACCTGTGTGTAGGACTGACTACTTAACAGAAATACGTAACAGATATCGCTCTACTGTGGGAAAGTGGAGAACGCTTTTCATTTGTTTCAAGCAATAAGGCACTTACACATTTAAAATTTCTCATTATATAAAACACACAATACCGGAATTCAAGTGATATTGCCTGCCTCCAGCTTTTATAGGCTTACTCTCAGTCATGCAGAAAGTTCTAACCGCTAATGCACATAGATTTTATGCAGCTCAAATGTGGAATTAGAGGTTTCTTTATTAATGAAACTGAATTTTGTCTAGCATTCTTCATCTGCCAGAAACAGCTAAACTAAAAAGGATGACCTGCCACTTGTCTAACCTTGCATCCCATTACTCACATTAAACTTAAGGGGAATTCTTGACACTAAAATAGAGAAAGAAATGGGAAAAGGAGAAAACTTCTCATCAACTCATTGAAAAACTAAGATGAAGTTCAGCTTTGACAGCCTTCTCAGAAGCACAGAAGATATTTTCTCAGCAACCAGCACTAATTCTCATCTCAACCACAGGCAAGATAATTTTCAACTTAAATAATTTTCAACATATATCCTAAAGAGTTATTTAGACTCAGATGGTTAGTTCTGTAACAAAATGCAGCCCAATTGGAAAAAAAATGCAATATTAAAAGTCATGAAGAAGAGACTTTGGTAGTTTGCATTTGAATAAATACAATAATCTTTTCTCAATATAGCTCAGCAAAATCTAATGTGATCATTTCCTAAGATGCAATTTTGTCTTCAACTATTTCCAGAAGTCAGTTTCAGATTATAAAATCTGAAAGGAAAAGGAGTTAGAAATCAAGTGTATAATTAATGGAAATATGGTAAACATTTTATTATGAGATTGGTAAACAGTGATATGGAAAAATCTACACCTGTTCTTGTAATTTCAGGACATGAAACAGCATAATGTAAATTGATACCAAAGAACTCTTCATATTGCATTTTTATGCAAAAGGTAGTACATGAGTAAAAACTGATCTCCTTATCCACAACCTGCATAAGAATAGAAAAGTTCAGTTGGAAGGAACCTTCAGAATCCCAATTCCTGATTGTTTCAGAGCTAACCAAAACATACATCATGTTGTTGAAGGCATTGTCCAAATCCCTTGAACAGGCACAGATCATCAGCCACCTCTCAAAGAAGCCTGTTCCAGGGTTTGACCACCCTCATGTTGAAGACATGTTGCCTAATACCTCATCTTAAGACATGAAAGAAAAATATTTCTTGACTGCATCAGTGTTTTTACAAAACAGATTTAAAATACATGAAAAGCTTGTTTGGATTCTGTGAGTAGATTTTCATTCTAAAAATGAGGTAAACGTGGCACTGTATTAGTAATATCATGTTCAGTAACAGAAGAATAAAATTGCAACAATACTGTTTTAAGTTTGTCAAGTTTTCAGCAAGATAAAACACTGAATGGGGCAAGCATGCAACAAGTTCAAGCAAGTATGTGCAAAATCCATTTTATACTAAAACCAAACAGTTTTTACATAGCTTTCTCCTCTCTGGACTTCAATCCATACAACACAGTTCAGATCTACCTTTCATGTTTTGATGAGTCAACTAAGCTCCAAACACAACTTCTTCCACACAGATATGCATTCTCAGATTAATTACTATAACACCTGTTTTTAAATTAAAGGTATTGAGAAATGAACAATTTGAATTACTCTTAGAAATTTATGTGCTTTTTCTTGTTTTTTTTTTTTTTTTTTAAACTAGGGAATAACTAATTAAACAAAATAACTAATTAAAGCCTGATATAAGTCATCATCAAAATCAAGCATGAAATTGAAGCATTGAAATCAAGCATGCACTGGTTTCATTCATTTCTCTATGTCATTTCAACATCAGGCTAAGAGCATCAGTGATTAGTTGCACTAAAGGAATAAGCACTCTGTTCCTTACTGGAGAACAAGTACAGATCCTAAACCCATAGGCACAGAGTATGGAAGAAACAGCAAGGAAGTTACACTCTCAAGTAACTGAAACAATCCACATTGGGTAGCTTGCTTTTTTAATTAAAAATAAAACACAAATAACTGTAGCAATGTGCCAGCGTCAGCAGTGACCACACTGCTAGTTTTGCAGCTGAATCAAGGCTCAGTTGTTTCTTTCATGCAGTAGTAGTACAAAAAGCTAGCAAATATACCAGCAGTGTTACTTTTTAAATACATGTGCCTTCTTAAGTTTATGCATTAAGCCTGAAAAACATTAAACAGCTGTAACTCCAATTCGTATACCATGCTTACATTTGTTGGAATTTTAAAATAGGTTATTTAACACTTTCTGTGGACATTGTTTTTAACATTACTGGTAAGTCAAATCATTAAGATCCCTCTCGTATTAAAAACTTACATTCATTCCCTGACTAATTGCTTTAGTAAGAATGCTATTTGGACAATCTTCCTTTATGATTCCTTTTGCATTTCAGAAATAAATCAAATTTTCAAGTAGCTGCATAATGGTTGTCAATTATGGCTGTTAACATACTTCTCAGTATTTTGGAATACCAAAGAATTTTGGCCCAATACTGTGCTGGCATAAAATGCGTACAAATTCCCTGATTTAAAAGGGCTAAGGCTGATTTCAGGAGCAGACCCGCTACAAAATTAGAAGATACGAAGAGATTCTCTCTCTAGTTTCCTTCTGTATAATTCCTTTCACTAGCAAAACAAACAGAGGTGAATATAGATTATAAAATAACAGTAATCCATAGTTCTCCTGTACAACTTGGCACCATACTGTAATTATCATACCAAGAATTATGACTGATGCAATGTCTGCTCAGGAACAAAACTACCACAACTTAAATTAAATTTAAATTTACCACAAATTAAAAAAAAACAACAACAACAAAAAAAAACTCATTGTCTGCATGGCAAATTGTTTGGCTACTGATCATGAAACGGTTTCTCAGATCTAAAAGGCAAGAGAAACCATTCTATCACTGGAGAATTTGTAATCTATCACAGAATTATTGTTCTTTCTACATACCACTGAATGTCACACAGGCTAATTAATATTTTTAATAAGTACAACTTTACATTGGTCAAAACCAATAAATATATGTAAATAATAAAAAAAGTTATCATACCAGGAAGAGTTATGAAGTAAGCAGTAGTAACAACAACAACAACAAAAAATACTCCCTTTCATATACATTTGCACTGCCCCAAAGACAAAAGATCAAAGTGCACTGTATTTTAATGACATCTGAAAGATTACGAGTAGACTGCTTGTGAAGGTGGTAAGAATTGAAAACTTTTTTTTTTGTGCAGAACTAAAATTGATGGGTCTTTCAGAGCACAGGGCTACTCCAAACTGCACTTCTGACACTCACTTCTATCCAACCCAGTTTCCTACTCTCAATGTCAAATATATTTACAAAAAACAACCATACAATTATTTTCCAGTTACGTATTCTGAGTGAGCTCTTTCAATATACAACTACACTCACAAAGTCCACAGCAGGCAAAAAAAAGACCTTGCCACAGACATGGTTAAGAGCCCTGAAACTTGACCCAGTTAATAAAATCTCAAAAGCAGAAAAGCAGCATGGAGCAAAAGGAGGAAGAAAAAAAATAAAAAAAGAATGAAAAACCAAAACCAGAACTCAATAGATCTGCACAAAAAAAAAAAAAAAAAAAAAAAAAAAAAAAAAAAAAAAAAAAAAAAAAGGCATTTATTTGGCTATACAGACTTACTCAGCATATAGAGCACATACCTGGAGTGGCCAGTTTGAAGGCATAACTGGAAACTGTGAAGGGTTCTAGCAGCTCTAACTATGCCATACTAACCTGAAAACAGCTGATCTGGAAACAGGAGCTAACTTGAAGACATGAAATACATGAAAGTGTAGAGTGACACAATACTAGAACAACTCTTGTTACTTCAGTCTCATCTGAAGACCAAGATCAAGACAGACATTTTAGCTGTAGTGGGTATAATTACTGACAGGTCCTAAAAAGATAGCAAAGAAGTCCACAAAGGCCCCATGCTGCAGCAAAGGCCAGCACTGCTGAAGCTGTGCACCTCCATCCAGGTTATTCAAATTCAGGGAGAGATGACAGGTCAAAGTGAAAAAGCAGCTTCAGCCTGAATTGCAAGCAGTCTCTTGCAACTGGCACAACCCAGAGACCTGCCCAAGCAGAAGCCAGCAAAGCTCTGCTCAGCCTGGAGCCTCTGCAGGGCATGCAGCTCTGATCAAGTGCAAAAGAGCCTCAATACATTAACATAAAGATTTCCAGACAGCTTAGAAATTCAGCTCACTTAGAACAGATTTAAGCACTTAATCTGAATACAGATACTGATGAGCAAGCAATTCTTAGAAGAATAAATAATCCTGAATACAGTGAATGCAATGTGGATACTCGGCATATAGCAACATCCACCTTAGCAGGTTAATCAGACTGTCTGATGATATTTCCTGCTAATGAAGATGTAATAGAAGAGTCTGATGGTTTCAGACTTAAGAGCACAGTTAAAAAAGCCAAAATATCATTAGGTCCTGAAAGAAGAACATCTTTTACATTTCTTACACAGTTCACCCAATTTCCTTAAAAAAATTAATGACTGTAAAATAAATGACATGACTTTGATGTAATGTAACATTTCCTATAATGAGAATAGCTGTGTGAAATTTACATTTCAATGGATGAAGTTACTGGGTTAGATTTTACATTTCAACTGGCTGTACTATATAATGTTAATGAAAAATTGTTTGTTACATATTATTCAAATGGCCATATTTTTATATGGATAGAAAGACTTCAGTATTCTTACTCTGCCTGGCTCCTGCATTTTTTTTCCTTATCTACAGAGAAAAGCAAATATTGTCATTCCTACCTTTTTCTCTACAGAGAAATGGAGATTGGACTCTCTCATCTTAAAATGGTCAAATATGCCTAGTTTTGCTGCATGTAAAAAAAAAAATGAAGAACCACTTTCATTTAATCTGTTCTGATAAAATCCAAATGGTCTGAATGAAATTATAATGTAGGAGTTGAGATGTATGCTTTTCCCTCCACACAGATAACATTCTTCTTGAAAGTAAAATAAATGCAGATCTATTTCTTCCCTTTATGCTCATTATTCTAGCATTTTAATTTCAGATCTTACTGAACTCAGAAACTGAAAATAGTGAACAGAAGAGAAAATACAGCTAAGACAACTGCAGGAGTATCTCACATAGTTTATAAGGAAACAGGAAAAGAAAGGAAATTAACACACTGTATAGTTACAGATAATCTCAAGTACTAAAACATTCTCAAGTGGAATAGTTTGACATGGTATTACAGACTGTATTGCAAAATGAAATCTATTTATATATATAAATGCATCTCTCACTCTCTGAGGTCTGAAATTTTCTAAATAATACAAAAATATTTTCATTATTTGACATTTAAACAAAGGAATAAGAATCCCTGAGTAAGCCAAAGACAACTGATATGTATGGCCTCAGAAAACACTCAAAACCAAGACTTGATTTTAAGGCAGTTTCCAACCTGCAGATAAAACAGAACTAGAAAAGTGATGTGTTACAGAAGAAGAAATCTAATTAGCAGGCGCATTTGCATTGAGAATAGTATTTGAACTTTACTTCTAAATGTCATTGCTTCCCAGCTTAATTAACACATCTTACAAAGGTACTATTTCAACTGACAGGACAACAGGGTCAACACGCCCTTAAATTCAAACAAAAAATTAAGTACTGCTGACTGTTACAGTATGCTTGTGTTCACGGTTTCAACAAGAGGAAAAAAAATAACAAGGAAACAAAACCAGAAGCTGTCTGAAAAGACACATACTAGCCAACTATGGTCAACTGATATTTGTGTTTCCAAATAAACAGAATTCATCAGTTCTTCCACTGAGGCTTTGAAGTCAGAGTGAGTATCTTATAACAACGGAGTATTATGTTGGCAGGGAAGTGGACTGTTTACTTAAAAGTTACAACTAGATTCAGGTGTAATAACTTTCGGAGAAGGAGGTACAAAGTAAACCCTCTCAAAAGATACACTATTTCTGAGTGTTAATTTTGAAGTCTGTAGACTTAGGGCACTGATTATCTCCCTTTCCCCTCTCCCACATAAATATGCACCTATATATACACATATGTGTCTTCAAACATTCAAAAAGTACCTTCACACTACAAATCTAATCTTCAAGATCACAGCTCTTTTTAATGTAAGTAGGTATTTTTCTAATTTTCTTACTTTGGTGTATCACTGTTAACACAACTTCATTATTTTCTTTTAAGTTGTATTTGTACGATACATTTGGATTATAACTAAAAATGAAAAACTGAGTCTCAACTCCAAATTACATTGCCCTTGTAGTGATGTGATGAGAAAGAAGTCCAGTGACGAACAGAGGTACTCTGAAGCTCAGGAATAAAGGCCATGGATTGTTATTCTCTTCAGATCTGTTACACACCAGGAACAGTGACACTGGAAGTAGAGAATAAGAATGAAATGGTCTCCTAATAATTAACGATTACTTCCTTTAACCAGAATTCATACATCTTCTTCATGAAACGCCAGTGGATGCTCTAAGACTTACGTAGGCTACTTACAAAGCAAATGTACATGCCATTTAGGTTATAGGATTTCATTAAGTCAATCTTGCACACACCCTAGTGTGTAGACTATGTACTATATGCTAGTTCAGAACAGAAGAACAGGTCTCCAGCTTCTCTTCAAATTCATTTCCTTCTATGTTCTGTGTCACATTTCAGTGGATATCAATGGCCTGTTTTGTCTCAAGTTACTTCTTGTTATCTAAACCCTTGAAATCTTTTCTTGTACTGAGAAAGGTTCAAAATGCTCTACTCATCTGGCAAACGCCAATTTCTAATCAATATTAATGGACTTCCAAAAATTAAATACAAAAGGAAACCCAACCAGCATATTTGTAAGTATCATGAAGTTTCAATAATAGTAAGAATAGTTCTGAGGCACTGTTATTTGGCTGTGGCAATCCATGCTGCACAAACGCAATCTGAACTCTTGCTCTCTAGTAGGACAACTCAGAAGATAACCAGCTGTCATATTCTGGCATGTGATGGGATTTTGGTATGCTGAACAGAATGCTGTGTGATGGAAGTTATTTACAGAAGTAGTATTTAATACCAAAAGTAGTATGCTCAGTACACAGTAAGAGTCCAAACACTCCTAAGCATTTCCCCCTTAAAGGCGAACACAGAAGTTAAACGGAACATGTTAGCAGTTACATGATTTCTTCACAGGCCAAATCGGTAGTAGAGTTGTGGCTAAAATACAGACTTTGATTGTCTAGTTCAGGAACTTAGACTTAAATCTTTCAAAAATACCCCTTCAAAGTAATAATAGAAAAAATATTTTAAAAGCAGCAGTCAGGGGACCCATCCTGTTCAGAGTGCACCAGAGCAAAGAGGCTTTCTGGTCTGCAGTAGTGTTTCAGCTGAGAGAAGATGCAGGAGATCCCCCACTCTTCTTCCAGGGCGATGGCTGTGATGCCGTTACCAGCACTGTATTGCTCTGTTGCACAAACCGTGTATAGTCCTTTGCAGGACCAGCTCAGTTCAGTGAGTATGGCCCATCCTTACCAGGGCATACCTGTCCGTGACCTCTTCCTCTGCTTTTTACAAAGGCAATAGATAGGAAACACAAATAAACCTGTCAAAATAAGAAAATAAGAAAAAAGGCATAAAAAAAAAAAAAAGCAACGTGTTCTTTCTTTATATGTGGAGAGTATTAAGACACAGCTCTGTATATCTCAAGAAAGTTTAGAGGAGGAATTTGGACAAGCAGATAAAACCTAGCCTGCAACAGTCTCTTTGGCAATCAGTTAAGTTATACTTTCTCTTGCTTAGATTACAACAAAATTCCTGCTAACCCCTCTCCCATCTCTGACAAATTAATTCCTGAGCCAAGCTTTATTTTGTATAAGATACAAATGAAAAACTTTTAACAGTACTTTGGAAATTCTCAGACCTAAATACAATCTTGCTTCAATAAACACGTAACATGCAAATCTAAAAGCTAAGAAATATCTACTTAACATACTTAATTCAGGGTTCATATCTTCTTCAGCAGACTACCAATTCTAAAAATTCTCTTAATCTTTAATTGAGCCATTATAACATGCAACAAAAGCTTTACATTTTTATATATTTACATATATTATATACAAAAATAAAAATATCTATAACATATAATTTTTGTTTTTCAAATGTCCTTATCTATTGAGAAGTAACACCAAATGTTTATCCTTGCCCAGACAATGATCTATTTGTTTTTAAGAAGCCTTTTGAGAAAAAGAAGCTGTAAATGATTGAACAAATTTATAAAAATCCCAAAACGTAGATTTATTCATGTAAGAAAATTGTCTGTTAGATGTACTCTCTCTTTCTCTCTCTCTCTCAAAAAAAAGTACCTCCTCCTTTCTCTTACCACCAGCAGAATGAAAATGTGCAGATTTACTTCCCAAACACCACTACAGTAATAACAAATTGCAAAAGGCTACTTTTGCAATGTCCTTGTTTTGCTGAACCACCTTGTAACTGGCGTAAAATGGTTAAGTACGATATTGAGATTACTTTAACAGTTGTGTTGGCCGTAAATATTGTTGCAATCACCTCAAAACCAAAACTTTCTTATAAATAATATTTTTGGACTACTCAAGCTGCTTTTCCTGATTGTCTCTTATCTGGCTATGCCCAGGATGGGACTTTAACAGCAGACGGGGTATTACTGCTATCGCATTAGAACAGTTTTGCAGTAATATAATTTTTAAGGCATTTTTATTTTTCTCCCCAGCACTTATTATCTCAGATCACTAGAGCAAAGTACACTTTACTGGCTTTAGAAGTATTGGCAAAATAATATTTTTATGGCTTATTTCTAAAGCAGAAATTACTAAAACAGGGCAAAGAGTACAGTTGCTAGAATAACTGTACTCGCAATAAATACAACCACATTAACAGAGCTTTGAAGCCATATCACATTAGTTTATGGTTCATCTTTTTGTGATGGAATTCAGTTTGGCAGTCTACGCATTAAATCAGACTGAGATTGACTCAGCCTAATTCACTGCTTTTTTTTTTCTTCTTATTGTTGTTTCATCATCAAGATGGAGGGATACTGGGACTATAGCAAAGGAAGCTATAGGAAGCTGGCGCCTCCAAAATTTTGCCATGCATGTGGCCAAGATATTAGAACTGTGATCCACTGAGGTGGCGAAAGGGAGGGCACAAGTTAGACTGCTCAAGCCCTTTTGGTATTTTAACTATATTAAAGACATAGTTTCAAAAAAGCCTTAACCAAATAATTGCAAAATATGAAATAAAGCCAATAGGCATGAAATGCAAGGAAGAAAAAGATTCTAAAGACAAGCCATTTAAAAAATTGCATGTGCTTCATAATAGAAATGTATCTAAGAAATGTCTGTCTGATCTGAGACTGTCTCTTAGAAATAAACCTACCGAGATGCTAAAGTCATACAGAAAGTCACTGCAAAATCAGACCCAATCATTTATATTATTCTTACCTACTACAACAGCTACGGCTCCCAGTGCCAGTCCCAGAATCAGTATTAGGGGTGTGATGAGTAGCTTTCCAGCTGAAACAGATAATTCATGAACAATTCAAATTAAGCATTCTATTTTTCCCCTTTGAGTAATCCACAAATATTTGTATATCTGACCTCTCACAAGAGCCAGTTTATTATTTTTTATACTTGCTACAATCCCTATTTGTAAAGTCACTGTACAAATTCAGACAGGAGTTATCTCTATTTTTCTCTGCTCTCTCCACCCACTACGACTGAGTACAGCTCATTTTGTACATTAACAGTTAACTTGCATTTATTTCTATTCTGGAATCCCTTAGGCAATGTGACAGGAACATGATGGATATCAAGTTACTATCCTCTGGCACCTCCAACATCCTACAGTACAACAACCCCAGAAAGAAGCCAAGCAAACCAACATCTTTAAGAGCTTAGATTGGCTCAAGGTGATGAGATCAGCTGGTTTCTACAGATGTTTTTGCAGACTTTAAAAAGCTGTACAAAAGAAGCATGTTTACATAACTTGAGTTTATAATCTGTAGAACTGCAGGGAAGCAAGGCAGGATACCCTCTGAAACACCTAAGCCAAAGCTGAACTTTGAATCCAAATTATTTTTCTTGTGTTTAATACTTTAAACTGAACAGCAGAATCTCTCACTGAGTTGGCTGGATAGCTATTTCAAAGCAGTCAGTCACCTCAGAAGTGTGAAAACACAGCAGGGTAGGCATGCTTACTAATGTACCAGCTGTTTCAACACGGATTTGAAATTAAGCAATTCTCTACATTAAGCATATGTTTGAAAGATTACTTCTCGAATGAGAGGAAAAGTGAGTTTATTATCTCTCTCTTCTCTGCCCTTCCCTCTCTCAAGCCACTTGTATCAGATTTCAATAAATGGATTACTTCATTCAACAATGATGTAAATCTCTCCATAACCTTAGCCACTAATTTGGGCAGCAGAAAGGAAAAATGAGATATTTTGGAAGCATTTGCAGTGGTTAAATGAATCAGTCCCTTTCATGCTTTTCTTTTGATAGCTTTTAAATTTCACAGGAGTGTTGTGAGTAGGAAACATTAATTCCTAGAAGAAAAAGTTGGCAAGTACTGTTGGTATTACTCTAGTTGCTAGGCACCCTAATGGCAGACCTTCCTGAGATTCCACTGCACTGCATTCTGTAAACACAGAAGTTGTCATTGCCTTAAATAAGTTATTCAAGTACAGGAAGGAATGTAGAGTGATGTAAAAACCTCAAGAAAAAAAAAATGACAAAAACAATCTTAAAGATTACTTCAAAATTGTTAAAGCTCTGGTAAAGCTTACAGAATTCTGTTTTGATTATAAGCTTTCTATGTGCTAAGTCATGTAATTTGAATGTTAAAAGATTGTGGCATGTTTGGTACAAAACTACTAAACTTAATCTACTGAATTGGTGATAAAGTACACACCAACAGAATCTGCAGAATGGTTAAGCTGTTTGTTTTTTTTAAAACAGAGTGACTTCTTTGCCACATAAAGAATGTTTTCAAAGCTAATTCAGTTTAAGAACTTGCGTATTTACATTTGACAAACTAACTTAAAGCAGCAATAAAGCATGAATGTTTGTCTTTGCCCTTCTGCCTGTGAATATGAAACTGAGTACTGTGTAGTTTATTAGTTACAAGATCTTACAGGATAGAGACCTTTCATCATCATGGGACAACCAGTTCACTAGCTCTATCCCCCTTTATTTATCAATGCGTTCTTCCTAAAGGTTAAACTTCAAAAATGAAACAAAAATCTTTTTCTACTTAGATATCTATTGCATTTAAGTCCTTAATTTTATTTTTTACAAAGGTAAAGATAAAAGAACAAGTTAACATAAGGTAAACAAGACACACAAATCACTAAAGGCTAGGAGTATAAACATCACCAATCACTGCAAAGCAGCAGATATCTATCTTTTACTCAAATAATCTTCTATTAAGATGGCATAAAACAAATACATAAAATACTGTTTTCTATGTCTAAATTGCTTTCTATTCAAATGCAGTTTGACATATACCATTCATTACCATGTGTAGGACTAGGAGGCTCAGAGAGAGAGTCATGACACAGTAATTTGTTGTCCTATTCCTGCTAGCTCCAAGATCACTAGCAAATGTAAACCTCGTCCAAGAGTAGAATAAAACCTTTGACTGCCTGTCCAGGTTATGATAGTCATTTCTGGTAATGCCCAAAGTTAGTTTTTAAGGATAATTGCATACATTGTTGCCAGTAAAAGGCTAAAAAAAATTTTTTTAAATTCTAACCAAAATAATAGCAGACAATTTCTCTACAGACTTACTCAATGTGAAGATTTAGTTATTTGTAGTAAAGTAGTAACCATATTTGCAAATGTTTTGGAGAAGTTTCATTAGTTTTGATATACAGAATCTGATTCTTCTACAAAAAAGGGAAAAATTATTTCCCTAAGCATTTTTTTGCATAACTTTGGTTTGGCTGTGGGTTTTTTTTTTTTTTTTTTTTGTTTTGTTTTGTTTGTTTGTTTTTGAGGGGAGTTAATATTTACAAATCTCATTAAAGAATTCTTCGTCATTCTAAGAAATTCATATACTAGCTTTAGAAAACAAATTCAGTCACTTAGGATATGGAAACATAGTCTATTTGTGTATATATAATTAAGTAGACATTACAAGTGTCTACTTACAAATCTGAAGAGTCACATCTACATAGTTTAAATGCTAATACAAGTTTGCATCTCTTTAAGAAGTCCAGTCAAACGCGCATAGGCGACTTTGTACAAGTCAAAGCAACTGTGAAGTTGATAATGAAGACTGGATCCTCAAAATGCATGCTTCCTTCCACAGTGCTCAAAACTATGCACAAAGTGCATCTTGCACTCCATGTTGGGACAGCAGTACGTGTCAATCAGATATAAAAATGTGCTGCTTTCAAAATCCTGTTTGAGACACTACTCACCACGCACAGAATTTCTTGTTTAATTACATCTTGTCTTTTTGTGCATCCATGTAGTAAGCATGTAGCAATCGATTCTGAACATGATTCACCCAATTCAAGTGGCACTTAAATGGCACCTTAAATGTAAGACAGCTAAATGTTGTTTTTCCTTCCTGTGGTCAATAACCAAATCAACACAAATCAATTCATCACTAACTCAAGTTGCAATCAAACATTCTGCTTCCAACAACTGAACCAAAAGGAATATAATTAGCATGAGGATGAAATCTGTAGATCAGCTTTCCATCCTTGCAGTCCTAGCAACTTCATCTTTTAGTACTGGCTACAGGACAAAGTTCCTCTAAAGATCTCCAGTGCTTCATTCCCCAGTCTGTATGTATAGCCAGGGTTGCCCCTTCTCAGGTACAGAATATATTTGATTTTGTTCAACTTCATGCAGCTTGGTCATTGCCACCTCTCTAATTTGTCATATCTGGCTAAGGTGGGGAGAGAAGTGACATCAAGAAAAAGCAATCATTTCTGCTCCCAGAATATTTTCTTCTGGTTTCACCTTTACAAAACCATTTGTTTTCACAGAATTACAGAATGGCCAGGAAGGGAAAGGACCTCAAGGATCATGAATCTCCAACCCCCTTGCCACTTGCAAGGCCATCAACCTCTTCATTTACTACTAGACCAGGCTGGCCAGGGCCCCATCTAATCTGGCCTCCAACACCTCCAGGGATGGGGGATCCACAACTTCTCTGGGCAGCCTGTTCCAGCACCTCACCACTCTCTCTGTAAAGAACTTCCCTCTGACATCCAACCTAAGTCTCCCCTCCCTCAACTTAAAACCATTTTCCCTTATCCTGCAGTTGTCAACCCTTCCAAAGAGTGATTCCCCTCCTGTTCGTAGGTTCCCTGTAAGTATTGAAAGGCTGCAATGAGGTCACCATGCAGCCTTCATTTCCCCGGACTAAACAAGCCCAGCTCCCTCAGCCTGTCTTCGTAGGGAAGGTACTCCAGTCCCCTGATCATCTTTGCAGCTGTCCTCTTGACCCTCTCCAATACCTCCCTGTCTTTTTTGTACTAGGGGCTCCACACTTGGATGCAGCATTCTAGATGGGGTCTCACAAGAGCAGAGAAGAGGGTCTATCAAGACTCTCAAGTCCCTCTACACAGGGCTGCTCTCAAGGACCTTCCAGTCTGTATGGATGCCTGGGATTCCTCCAGTCCAAGTGCAAAACTCTGCACTTCACCGTGTTGAACCTCATCAGGTTCACCCGGGTCCATTTTTCAAGCCTGTCGAGGTCCCTCTGAATGTCATGCCTTTCTTTTACCGTGTCAATGAAAAATGTTGAAATTTATGCTGCCATAAATATTTTCCCCTTATTTTTATTACAGAACAGTCTGTGACAAACATTTACTGCTCAACAGAAAATGACAGCATGCCAATCTGCTAAGAAATGTTCTTCCCTTTCTATGGACTACACCTACCCAGATTTAGTAGAAACAAGCCAAAGAAGCTTATCTGTTCAGACTACAAAATCACCACGTTTACTTAAATAAGTATTTCTTCTCCATAGTAAGAGAACAAAATGCATCAGGAAAAGCACCTAGCAACACATTATGTCTCCTACTGGCAGCGAAGACAGTGTTCTCTCAATTTCCACTACTTAGCCAAGTAGCTAAGTAGCTAGTAGTGACATCTCACTACACTAAATCAATTTTTTTTTTTTTTTTTTTTTTAATTATTCTACATGCTACTAAAATTAAGAGACCTGTTTTAATGGCCTGCTTCTCTGCTACAGCCTCCTCTTTCTGCTGACTCTCGTAACAGTCAGAGCTCAGTCTTGCACCGTAACACCTAATGACAAAGACTGAATGTATTTACATTTAGAGCTACAAGTCCAGCTAGAGATGACAGAAGGATTTAAGGTCATGAATATCAATGTAGAATTCTTTGAATCATTGTGGATTTCGGTGTTAACAAGCAAAGCTAAAAGTCACAGCCAACAAATACATTTCCTGGCAGGTTCAGCTCTATTAAAGTGATGAACATTGCTGTAGGAAATAACTCAATGACAGCGCAGGAAACAAACCCCTGGAGAAATCTGGACTGAGGATTTGAGCTTCAGTAATCTTTTTTGGCTTACTAGTCAAGGCAAACCACAAGCATACTTAAAAAAGAGAAATGAAAGCAAAATATCTTATGCCTTCTCTATGCATACTTTTATAATTATGAACATACACATTTTTACTACTGAATTTTAACTATTACATGTACTTCCGCATTTCATTACTACCTCCATGTTACCGTTTGCATATAAACTAATTCTCTTTTAAACCAGTAGTAGTTGTTTCTTTTTGAAAGAGAAATGATAAGTATTACTATTTCCTAAAACAAAAAACATAACAAGAAAGAGGAGAAAATAATTTCAAAATTAGCATTATGCATATTCATTAAAAAAAAAAAGTCAACTGCTTGTTTTATGTATAAGGCATTGGAAAAATTAAGACATCATGTAATGTTTGGTAATATAATTTCCATATAATTTCCATTCCAAAATACTTGTTTATGTTTTTATCTGCATCAAACAAAACAAGTTTAATCTTGGGATAACATTACCCATAATTCTACACGTGGATGGCAAAGAACGCGATGTCCCTGAACTCAGTCCCTTGCTATCACAGCAAAGCAGCTTATATTGTGGTTGCTTTTACTGAAAGTTTTTTTGAAACATTGTGAACTACTTAAAAATAGCCCTTGAATTTTAAGCCTACATTTATTCACGAACAGTTTATACCTACATGCTGTAGTGCCAGCATTGTCTTTAATCTTTAATAGTACTTCTCATGTGCTGGAATTTCACTCTAGAAAATGCAACAGTGAAAATATCCAATCGTTTTGAATTTTTATCCATTTTCCTATTTATTTCTGCATCTTGAATTCTCTCTTACAAAGTTTGCTCAAAAACCTTACAAGTTTCAGAAGTCAGACGAATGGGGTCTGAATTACTTACTGACATTCATTATAAATACACTGCAGGTTTCTTAGTTTTCTTCAACAACTTTGCAGATCAGCAAATTCTTCTTACCAGGCCTATGAGTCTAGTGTCAACCCTTGCACTACTCTAAAATGGAAGTCACCTAGTATTTTCACTGGAACATATTTTGGTCAGTTTTTACCACAGATCTGCTTCCATACATTCAGACTCTTGCCTTTACCTCTATATTTGACATAAGCTAACTTGTAAACTGAAAGCATTTTCTCATCTGAGCTGAATTTCAGTTTTCTTCCAATTCCTGTGCCTTAATTCACCCACTGTGATGTCCCACTTTCATTAATAGGTCTCCAGCTTTCAACACCTAATAGAACTATTTCCTATCATGTTACAGGTAGCTTTACATGACACAAACTAACTACAATTACTCAAGTTAATGCATATATAAGATAACAAATAAGCTAAGAATTTATTTTTCTTGTGCTTATGTAAGTTCAGACAAGTGCACTAGTTCAAACCAAATCAAGACTACCTTTAAAAAAAAAAATAATCACAATATTCCCTTGAGATAAATTAAATTACATAGTTGCATTTTAAGTTCAATCTTTTTTTCAGACCCAAAGCCAACAGCTAAGTGTCCTCCTATATACACACATAAGGAGAATAAGCTTGAGTGCTTTGGTTATCAAAACACAGTCAGGTTCAAATCCAAAGGATGCTTTATTCAGACAAACCTTTCAATCAGAGGTTCATCTAAAAAAATTCCTGCTCTTACTCATTTCTCCTGTATGGTTTTAGAATGACATAAGGCCCTACAAATACATATTGATTGTCTCATATCTTTCTGTTACTGAAATCATAGAGATCTACTTTCTATTAGAAGAGCTACTGATGACCAAACTAATAAGCTAGTCATCAGCTGATAGCAAGGAACAAAACTTGAATCACAGAATCACAGAATTATAGGGGTTGGAATGGACCTCCAGAGATCATCGAGTCCAACCCCTTCAGAAAAGACCTGAAAAGTTTAGTGGAAAATTTAGGATTTCAGATGCTTCCTTCTTTCCTCTGTTCCCACTTGACAGCTCAGGTACCCCTCAGTTCAGTACATGAATCCATTTTTGGGAACAATCATCCCAAGTGTCGTACAGGCACACTCCAATCTAGACATATAACTGAGATGCCAGACTCCACTGCATCAGTCAAACCTTGTGCTATTGCCTTTGTTTGACTACAGTCAACTTATCCAACGGATCTGTTTCTGCTGCTACATGACCTGGCATTGCTTTCACAGCATGCTTGAGCAAATGCTTCTTGATTTGCACATCGGCAGACAGAAATACAGACTGACAGAGGTAGCTGTACAACAATATGAGAAAATAGAAACATGAAATTTCAAGGTAAAACTGAACCAAGTTGTTTCATTGAAAGATCTTCATGTGAAATTACAGCGTGGCAGTTTCACAGCTGCAACGTGTCAGAAGGTCTATTTAGGTATCTGAAGTCACTACAATGTAATCAGAAGCAAACTGAATTTTCAATAGAATCAAAGTTATTCTTTAAGGCTACCCTATGGTGAGACATTTTCTTGTCAGTTTGCTTGTGTAGATTTACAGTTTGCTTAAATACTATGAAAAAAGGTTAGGAAACGCAAGCAACCAAAATAGGACACACTAGTTAATCACACATAATCCATACTAATCCATGCTCATGAAAGTGACTCCAAATGTATTCTAATATACTTCGTAAATCATTTTTTACATAGCTAAAAAAGAAGCTGCCCATCCTCCACTTTAAACCTATCCATACACACATACCTTTAAGATACTGATACCCCACCTGCCTCAGTCACCTCTTTATGCCACTCTCTACAAAGTGCATTTATCCACTTACCACAGACAGAGCCTCGCACTAATCTCCTCAAGTGTGGTCTCTCGGGGAGGTAGCGGTATTTGCATCCAAAGATACTGAGGTTTGATGTGTGATCTCCAAAGAAACGGAGCTGGCGGTATCTCTCCCCACAGCGGTAACAGAAATTAGTGTTACACTGGGAACAGGTCATGTGGTCACACCCTTCTGTTCTCTGGATGTGGATCTTTAGGAGCAGAAGGAAAAAAAAAAAAAAGATTATTTTTAACCCCAGAAGTGGAGGAAAGCAAGCAATGCTCCAACGCAGCCCACATACAGCAGATGTGCTAAGACAACTATGTTTTTTTAAGGTATGCTTCAGATCAAACATGAGTTACAGCTGTTTCCAGGCTTTTACGAAAGAAATGACTTCCTACGTCAGTCTTCCCCTTCATTTAAACAACCAAGGATCTCAGAAGATCCTTGCCTTTACTTAAGATGAAAACTTGTTTTTATTATTCAAGTAGACAAATTAGCATCAAATTTTATTAGAAAAGAAAGCAGCACAGTAAATATAGTTATGAACTCTGTATGACCCCTCCATAGATGGGTTTCCCCTCTCACGGCACCTGTGGCCCCACTGTTTCTCATTACTACCACAAATTGATTTAGCATTTTGTAATAAGCACCACAAAGGCTTTGCTGTAGAAAGAGGGACTTGGAAAGCACGGGATGTTGTCTTTTCTTGTTCACTGGTTTTGTCTTTAAGTGTTTAAAAGAAAGATTCCAAAAAAACTATGAAAAAATATGATAAACTTTTACAATGCCCACAGCATAGCATTAAGGTGATTTGCCTACGCTCTGCTTCTACTTTTCCAATCATTTTCTGCATGAAGTACCTTATTTACTATTTCTTTACCTCCATATACTCTTCTGCATTTACTTACTTAGCACACATTTAAAGGATTCAATTTCAGTTAATAGTTCCGAGAAACTTAGAAGTAACTGTGTAATCATTGTTGCAGCACATAATGTGATAGAATGAGACATCTTCCCCTAGACTGCATCTCTTCTTAATCTTGCCAACTAAAATCATTGCTAATGGGGTGGTGGTAAACAAGTTTTTCCTATCTCACAGAATGGATAAATAGCACCACCCCACACACAGGCTCCATAATGCAAGAAATAAAATAAAATAAAATTTCACAGTAACTGTGGTTGGAAGTAACCAGAGGTTATGTATTTTAATCCCTAGCTCAGCACTTCAAAGGCAGATCAGATTGGTTCAAGCCTTGTCTCAGCTGGTACGGGTATGCTGCTCAAAGACTATTACTTGTTCCAGACCCTCCCCAGGAACAGTCTTCACTCCTTATATCTTTCTTGCTGAAACTCGTGATGATTCCTCAATTTCTTATCCATATCAACCCATATTTATTTTGCAGAGAGGTATAGGTATAGACATCACCACTTAATGGCCCTGCAAGCACCACAGGTGATGAAAGCTCAGGTGCAACTGAAGCCTCTAACCTCAAGAGAAGTTTGCAGCTTCTGGGGTATCTGACATTCCTCAGAGGGTCAACAGTGGTACTGATCAAGCTTCACCTAGAATCTGAGAAATTTCTTCCACCTCAACTGCTACTGAAACTGGTACTCTACATAGGTAACAAGCTGACATTTTCTACTGGCACTTCTTTCAGCAAAAGACTGCAGGGCTGATGTAGTCAGAAGTCATTCCAGACAGGTGTGCCAACATGACTGTGCCAATGAAGGCAATCTCAAGATTTCTGCACTTTCAAATACTTCTTTTATGAATAAAACAGGAAAGGCATTCACAAAAACTGACTGTGCTATAAAAAGTCACACCCTGGTGGAAAGTAGATTTCATCCAATAGAAGGGATGCCAGTAGGCTGACTATACAATCATCCCCCTCTATTCTGAAGAAGCCCAACATGATTTTATTTGTTCCTATCATTCATTTACCTGCATGACAGGTTCCTTGTTTTTCACAAGTACCTGAGAAAACACCATTGCTGATGAGCTTTATAATCCGCTTGGACTTCAAAGCTCTCACTTTTAAGCACTTAAAGTAAACTGGAAGAAAATCTACTCAGCTATACCAGTTAATTTTTGAAGTTACACATGGTGCTTTTTTAAAAAGTCAATTTGACTTTCTCCTACTTTTCAGGCTTTATATGAAAAACATTAACCACATTCATTGAACCATAGTCAAATAGACTATGGTTATTAACCTCAACTGAAACTGAGAAGTGATCTGTGCTATCTCCAAGCAGCATATAACAAGTTTAGAAAAATCTCTAAAAAAAAAAAAAAAAAAAAAAAAAAAAAGCAATGTGTCAAAAATCAATTTAAGATATGGAAAAAAGGAGCCCTTTCTACTATTTGCATACTTAACTATACTCACATGTAAAACGTTTAAGTATTTTGTATGTAATGCTTTATTTTGTAAGAATATCTTGAAGAGAATCAGTAAAATACAAGCTGTTTCTATCAGGTGTGCTGAAGCTGCATCCACCTACCGTGAAAAGTAATCAGGCTTAAGCTCATTTAACGTGAGTACTAGCAGCCACTGTTATGAAGGATCAAACATGTTCAAAGCACTTACCAAAAAAACACTGAAAAACATGTGAATACTTGCCTAAGGATTTACCTATATACAGTCCCTCCACCCATAGAGTACTCCTGTTTTCTCAACTGCATGCCCAGACATGATAATCATGGAGAAATAAAAATCATGATATAGCTAGCAAAAAGAAGTTTTGTCTGTATATTTACATGCACTGAAGTGTATATCCAGAAGATACACATGAAATACTGTCGCAATTTATGACATTGATCAGAATTATATCTTCTAGGTTACCAATAGCTTTGGAAGTCTGCTCAGTAAAGAATACCCACCTTACTAAAGTTTCTGTCTTTAGATTCCATTAGCTTTAGTCTCACAGTAAAGACCAAATACTCAACACTCAATTTATTTTACTTTTCTGAAAATTTTGACTGTTGCAAATTTGTAACCAATTATTTTCTCCTTTATTTCATACAACTTATTTCAATAGAAACAACACATGCATCATCAAGAAAATCAATCTGGACACGGGTCAAAGAATTAAAACCAAAATAAGATACTTCTGTCCACTCCAGAAGGAAGTTTGTAAAAAAAAAAAAAAAAAAAAAAAAAAAAAAAAAAAAAAAAAAAAAGAAAAGAAAAGAAAAGAAATGTTACTATAAGACTTCCCAGAAACTGAACATTTTTAGAACTGGCTCAAACCTATCATATCTGAGCAAATAGGTTGCTAAAACTCAATGTCACGTGCATGTAAGAGAAAGGGTGAACAAATGACCACGGATTTCACAGCTTTACTAATTTTCCTTTGTGCTTTAAAGTCTTTCAAACTATGGCACCACGTGTTTATTTTCCCATTATCAAATTAAGAAGCTTAGCAAATTGAGAAGTATACCCTTATAGACACAGCAAGGTTCCAAGTGCAACTAAGTATCTCCAGATTTTTAGTTCTTACTGTCAGCAGCTGCAGACAACTGCTGAGGAAAAAAGAAAGTGAACAGCCATAACAAACACCTTTGTCGAGGGCAACTGAGGCAAGGGCACTGGGGGTTGTTCAAATTCATTCAAGTGACTAGGCATCTATCCTGGAAGGACAGAAAATGACATTTTTAGAACGTGAGACTGCACTTCATTCTGTTGAAAGTATTTATGAGAAAGGGCTAAATGTCAGTCCTTTCACAGGCCTAAAGATCTTCTGGATTTGCCAAAACTCAAAGTGCCTCCTACTTGTCTTTAAGTACTTCCTGCTTTACGCCAACATCAAATTCACGCAATTCTTCCAAGGTCTCTGGAAAACCTGATGAACAGCATCATACTTTGCTAAAATTTTATATTTATTTAAAGCTTTGTTATATGAATAATTCAGACTAACACACTCGTTACAAGTTGAGACTAAAAATTTTTTTAATGTTTCTTTTAGATGTTAAGAGCCTGTGAAACCAGTTTCAGGGACTGGTAAGTAAAATACCCATTTTTCTGTAATGGTCAAAGGTAAGAATCTACACAGCAAGTGTGAATTTTGCTTCAAACCTAGGATAGAAGCTACAAATATTTAGAATGCATAAATATTTAAGCAGTTTTAAGCTAACATCTGTGCACCCCTAGAATGCAACTTACCTTGCATTTTGGACACTTCTGAGCATTCCTCTGCCCGTGCTCAATCTCATTGGCCCAGTGACGCAACAGCTTGTCTCCCTTTTTGTACTCTTTGCAGTTAACACCTTCATGCCAGGGAGAGTGGCACTTGAAACACCAGACAAATTGGCAAGATGGACACTGGATCTGTACAAATGAGAAAACACACATTTACAAGCTATACACTGACCCAACTGGAAAGCGTGTTTTAAAAATGCTGCTCTTAGTCAAAGAGTAACTGCCCAGCAATAAGGGTCTAACATTTTTTGCAATGCCCACTTAAAAAACAAATTCAACAAGTTACGCAACACAACACTGATTTCTTTTTAAAAATTATTTTTAAAGAGAAAAAAAAAAAAAAAAAAGAATTATTAAAACCCAGGAAAGGCTCCAGTCAAGCAAAGGACAAATGAGTAGCTTGCTTTCCAAGATAATTCAGTTGCCTCAAACACACTTGTCATCAGGTAAAAATCAGCCGCTAACTTTCACTGTGATGGATCTCATTCTTCCTACAACCTTCACTCCCTTAGACTTCTACCAGAGAGAACACAATCCTCTGCTAGCAGGAACCTGGAGAACCCAGAATAGGTTATGAAGCTTCTATTAGAAACAGGCTGGGAAAAAGGTGCCAAGTGTGAGGGCCCTTTTCCTTTCCAGTCAAGTGCCCCTACCACCACTTTGATGCCAGACACCTCTGATCAAACATGTGCCAAACAGCACACTTGTTAACAACCACAATATTGGCAGAAAAGGTAAGCCAAGCTCTTTACATTGATAGAGGATCTATTCTTCCTGCTCACCTAGTTTTGAATCATTACAACAAATACACAATCATCACACCTTCTTCTAGAGCTTGGCTATTACTTGTAAAAAGCTGCTGGAGCTGTATTTGTAAAAGCATTAAGCAACACAGGTGCTCACACATTAAGTCTGGCCACACACCGGGACAGTGACTGAAGACAGCCACATTCAGTGCACATCCAGGCTTCAGGAACATCTCCACTACAGATGTGTTTGGTAGCATGTGATTTGAGTGGGGCTATGAATACGTGGGGGAAAGCTGGGGAAGGCACAACCCTCATGCAACCACTCATTTCCACCAGCCCATCCACAGTCCATGCCTAACACAGCCCCTACTCTATTCCAATGCACAGACTGGTCTGAGGAATTAACCAAAACCAGCTTCTCAGCCACAGCAGCTGTCTCCTGCCTCCAACTCACCACAGACACGTAAGGGAAGGAAGGTCTCCCTTGGGGTATGGCCCAGGTAAAGCCCACAGAACACATTCTGGAAGTCCTGGCATGACACAAGCTCGCCAGGTTCTCTGCTCAGACACACCAGCTGCCTGCCACCTCAGCTCTGTTCTCAGGCCAAAGCTGGCACTCTGATCTGCCTCAAGTAGTTCGCTGCAGCACAGCCAGAATTATTGTTCATACATGCAGTTATTACATCCATTACTACCAGCAAGCTAATACAAAGCTGATCTAATCTCATGATGAGTGATGGAAATGAAGCTGTCTGCAGCCCTTAATGCTTCTTCCTAAGCCTCTTCTGCATAGGCTTTTTTTTTTAAATGTGAAAAATTAAAGGCAAAAACTTAAATGCAAATTGATACAATGGCTCTAGCTAGTATACTTTTATGTCTCTACTGACCCACTGTTTAACGGTTGCCTTTAGTTTTACTTGCAGAAAACAAATGTTTCTGCATTGCAGCAGCTTCTGAGAGTGCAGCCTCGTTTGTGTGATGTGAAATATTTCTGGGTAGCACTGTTTAACCAAGTATTTTATCTTTATCTGATATGATAAAGTATCACCATCTGTACAATGTGCTGCTCAGCTTTGTGCACCACTTCTGCTTACTTCTTTATGTCAATCCAAATCTACAGATCAGCAAGTGCGAGAATGTGAGTTCATGCTCGAAAGATTCAACAATTTTCTCACTGTATCTAAGATGGCATTTCCCCCTCCAGAATTCGTCAGTATTCGTCTGTATACTGTATTTGTCTGTATGTATACGAATACATACAGAATTCGTCTGTATGCATGGCTGAAGTGTGAACAAGGAAGACAACCTTGAGATGTAGACAGATTTTCTTCTTTTTACAAGATGTTTTAACATTTCAGTTGGTCACCATTTACTGGTCATTATTCCTCTTAAACAAAAGAGTATTTAAGTGCTAGAACACATAGTTCTTTCCTTCATATCTAGCAGACAAAGACAATATAATTTAAAAATAGAAGAAGTAAATTCTGATGTCCTGTATCCTGTGCAAGTATGACTTTGTGCTTGTTATAGCAAGACAGAGTGGCATTTTTTCCACAGTAAACACTAAAATACTTGACAAAAGAAAACTGCACTTACATGCTTTTTGTCAATGAAATAAGGTACCAGAAACACAGGTAGGTAACATACAAAACTTGTTTGCATTGAAACAACATGCTGAAGTTATAACAAGCATATTACAAACATATGTAACAAGCATATTACAAACACTATTACTTTCTGTATGAGAATATGGTAACGGCCTATGACCAGGACAAAGTATGTAACAACCAACATACAAAATACAACCAGTACCTTTTCTCAGATTCATTGGTCTACTGGCTAAGACTACGTAAAAAAATATATACTATCCTGCTATCTTTGCTTAATTCTTCATAAAATCAGCTTAAGAGGAAAGAGGAAAATCTCCATTCTGAAGAACCTAAAAAATTAAATATTTATTGCTAATAACCAAATTCATGCAGAGCACTAATTTACGTTTCCAGAATCCAACATGCACAACAGTCACCTCTGGTTACTAGCTTACTACCCTGACCAATAACCCCAGTGTTTCCTTCGAGCATCATGTCTTCCAAGAATATACATCACAGTGATCCACTGCTAGGAAGACATGATATAGCAAACGCCACACTGCGTTACTCAGTGTTTATCACGCCTCGGGCAAAGAATGGCCTTGTGTAGTCACAATTAAGTGTTCTACAACCTGGAAGCTCTTTTCAGGTACAATATTCAGTCGTTTCAGATGGAATCTGAATGAATCCATCTCAAACAAACCCCCCATGCCAACAGATCTGGGAAGCTGCTTGCTTAAAAACCTGGTAACAATTTGAAACAAATTTTTTTTGCTCTTTTGTTTTTTGAACTTTTAACAAACATTTTTCACATGCTCTGTTACAGCACACATGTAACTACAAGAAATGTAACACACTGACATCAGATCTTTCCAAACACATCATTTAGAAAACACTGAAATAAACATTGAGGCTGCAATCACAGGATTTCAGAATATATTAATCAGTGGCCCTGATTAATTGAACTGAAGGAATCTACTTCATGACAAGCTTTGGAGTGACTAGTTTCCTTTTTCATCTTCCACAAATCTGAATTAGTAAATGGATTTAAGATTCTGAATGAGCCACTTGACTTCTCTTGGTCATTACCATCTGAACATACACTATGCAAACAAAAGTATGCTATTTTAAATTAACCTTATTTTCTTGGAAGTAGTAGACAAAAAAAAAAAAAACCCTAAAGGTTTTCTAACTTGGATTCAGTGAACCAGCATGGAATGTGCTCAAGAAGAAATAGGAACACAACAGGACAACTACGTCAGTCTTTTAGATTCTTACTCCATGCTTCCTCTGCTTTTCTGAGAATACCATCAGATGATTTGCTTTACGTATAGTGTTAGTACATAAATCATAATAAGGACTGAAGAAATTCAGATAATTCAAAGTAGCAAAATACAGTATAGTCCAACAAAACAGATGCTATTTCTGAAAAAAATATGTTTTTCCAAATATAAACTTTTCCAATTATTTTGTGACTTCCATTTCAGTTGATAAGAATTGAGAGGATACACACAAACTTACAACAGCTGAAGGTCAATCTCCCTTGAAATAGAAAAGATTACACAAGTTCTCAGACTAATCCTCTTGGTTCTCAACTTTCTCACACACTGATCTTTGAGGCTGACAATTTCCATTTTCTTAGACAGCCAGTAAAATAATTTAAACTTTCATTTCCTCACCTGCCAGGAAAAGACCTTTCAAAATTGGTAGGTAACAGCAGTATAAAGCACTGCCCACCATGACATGACGTTAGCAAAACTAAGCTCACATTAAAAATGTTCTGAGAACTTGAAGCTTCAGAAAGATTAATGGGATTCTCTGCAGCTTAGTGGAATGCTAGCTATATATTAGAGTGAAATAATTGTACAGTTAACTGATTAGTTGAATTACAATATCTATCTACAGCTACACAGTTAATTCATTCCAAAACAGATATTGACTACTGCCAAAACAGTTGCTTCCTCCTCGTCATCAACCCATCTTCTTTCTTATACCAGCTGAAAATAAGCAACAACAAAACAAATCTTGTATCCTGTTGGAGCTGATCTTTGATCCAGTTCCCAGTGTAGCACTGAAACATCAATATGAAAAAAAGCAAGTTGGCAGGAACAAACAGCTAAGAACATAGAGGAAGTAAACAGCAAAATTACCACTTTATGAGCAGTTTAGGTTTAATGCTGACAACAGTGATACCTAACCATGAAAGCATCTGCAACTCCAGGTTCAAATTTGATCAGAAAAAGTTGAAGAACTCACTAGTATCAGCTACACAGATCTATTCCATCACAATTGTTTCACAATTACAGATTCCTGACAGTTCTAGAGCAATAGAGTTTCAGAAACTTCCAGCAGTTCCAACAACAGATAGTTTACTTAAGAACCACGTTGAAGAAAAGCTTCACATTTCTGAAGTCAAACATACTTTACGTGATGGGCATCTCTTCACAGCAGCGACCAAGAAAGTTTTGTCATGAACATCACAGACTAAGGCAGAAAGCCCAACAATCAAGAACAACTTCTTTGTAACAGGTCAAAAAGCCAGCTCTAAAAAGGTGAAACTTAAGGCTTATGGGAGAAGAAAAATAAGCTCACAGTAAAAGCCAACATTCCCTACTGAAACCTGCCTGTTCCATGCATAAGAGTTGAACTACTATTCTCTTGAATTTTTTGCACGTTTTCTTCAGACCTTGGGCACACCAACTTTCACCAGAGGTTTATTAATCTTTTCTTTGATTGAGTCTTATATTCTCAATTTGATTCATAAGACAAAAGGTCAGGGATGTTTCCTTACTTAAAGCTAGGATCCCTCTTGAGACATGAATACATGATGCAGTATACTAGATAATTAATCTGCTGTATGGTGCTCTTTCAAGTGACACTAACAGGACAAAGAATGTTTCAATAGCCAGTTTTACTTTTCTACCTCTCTTCCTCTGCCAACATGCATGCACAGGTTAATTTTCAAGGCTTACATCAAGACTTTGGTTTCTAAAATGAAGAGTAGCCAGAACTGCTAGGCTTACATCAGTTTAGCTAACAAAACATATACCAAGGAAAAATATTCAAGCTGATAACTTTTATCCTTCTTTAAATTTAGATGTTAGCTTTATTTATAATTTAAAATGGGGTATCTATTGTTAGTAAAGCCATTAATGACATTTAAAGATATCTTCTCAAACATACTCTCAGATTTTACAGTGTCTTCCTGTCCCTGCATATAGTACATATGTACAGCAAGGGTACTGGGAAGAGCCTTTCTGTGCTCCTGACAGTACCTTTCTGCATGGGCTTTCCCCATGCATGACTGTTCTTCTGAAAAGGCAGCACTTCCAGTTCTGGGGTTTCAGTCCAGAATTCCTCTGAATCAATTCGTGCTTCTATTGCTCATATTGCTCCTAGTCTCAGGTCAGATCTCTTCTATACCACATGTGGAAAAAATGAATCTTCACCTCCAAAGAGCCCATAATCCAAGACAGAAAAGAATGTATGAAAAAAAATCACATTAGAATATAAGAAAACTGAGATAATGGTCCACAGCTACACATGTACACAAGGACAGGTACACTTTTTTTTTTTTTAAAAAAAAAAACATCTCATCCTTGTAGCAACTCTTCTGTGTACTGAGCTTCTATCAGTTTGCTAAAACTTTACCTACAACAGAACACAACACAGGTTCGAGGATCAGTCTAAAGCTCTGGACCATGAGTGTCCCTACTGTTTGTTAGTACTTTCCCAAGTGTATTTCTGTCCTGTATCAACTAGACATTCCTTACACGTGGGTACAGCCAGCTCAAAGCACATATTTTGACAGTCTGTTCTTAGGAAGAGACTCTAGCTCTGCAGAGCAGGACTACACAACATTTTACCACAGTACCAGGGAACTGCTTCAGGCTTGTACTACATAAAGCATCAGGCAGCTTCAGATTCTTTCTTTGATTAGGATTTCTGGGGAAGTGGTGAGAAGATTTTAACCACAGCATTTGAACTCACAGCATTTGTAAGCAAAGTACTCTTTTGTACTCTGAAGATAATGAACAAATTGAGTTGGCAAGCACATACTACCTACAACAGCTGCACAACCTTAGGAGAAGCTGATGCAAAAGCATTACAACAGCTGGTCTACCTTGGACCACACATCCTGTCTGTACCTGAGGAGATGTTAAATGGATGGTTGAAGAAGAATGGCTTCAGGCAGAAAGAATTTAACCTGCAGTTTGGAATTCCTCCACCTTTGCTTAAAATGCCAAGCACCTGAAAATCTTAAGTCCAGCACTAGACTTTGTGGCTACTTATATATAACTCAAACACTGCAAAGAAACAGGAAGGAAGCTCAGAATTCAAGAGTTAGCTTTGCTGAAGTTTCAACTGCACTGGATACACAACCTTCTACTTTTTAGTCCCTACATTGGGCTCAATCTTACGTCGTAATTAGGCCTATCTAAACAACCATCTAAACTCCTACTAAGGAAAACTGGTTTGGTCAGGGAAGGCCAGCTCAATCATGACATTAACCACAACAAATCTAATAGCTGGATGTAAAGCTAATGCGAAGCACGATGTTGCAGACAGAACTTTCATCTCTTGGAAACAAGATGGACCATCAGGGCTCAAAGCTTCTTCTAACTGAAAATCTTGCTTTTTAGTACCTGATTTAAATCAGTATAAGCAAACCTTCTACTTGAAGAAACTCTGTGAAAAAATGTTTTTTTGATCATCCTCCAATTTTATGTACTAAGAGTCATGAAACCACAGTAATCTTTAACCTCTAGTAAGGGATTAAAGAAATCATAACCAAGAGGCAGGACAGACAACATCTCTAGTTCTTAGGAAAGAACAAGCAACAGGAAGCTATCACCTTACACAGTAAGTGCCTCGAATTCATTTGCTCATTTTCAGGAAATAACCTATTTTTGCCAGAGTTGTGCGGCTAGAATAATCAGTTACCGTGTAATTCCCCTTTCCCAGTCTCTTCTGATCACGATTACTGTTTGCACATGAGAGAAGAAAGAAAATACTGTTAAAACTAAAACATGTCAGGCCAAAATTATGCCACCTACCAACCTATCAGGACTAAAGTTCACCTGTTCAAATGGCTAGAAGTGAATTAACTAGTTAAAGCAACCATGTACTAATGCTGTCCTACTTTTGCTGTGCCATCTAATCCACAGCTCTGGCAAGCGTGCTCACTTTGTATTTGTTCTCCAATTTGGCAGGGGTAGGAATGTGGCCTCTCCTCCGGAAGGTTGTAAAGTGCTTGCACTGAGGGCATGGCTTCGTGCTGGAGTCGATGCGGCTGAGTTCCAGGAAATATTTATACTTGATAATGTCCTCGTGGGGCAGGTTATAGAGGACAGTTGTTTCATCCAGGTGTTCGCTGCACTCTGTGATCGGGCATTTTATATCTGCTTGTCCCAGCTGCACCTGCATATGAAAAAAACAGAAGAGCTGCATGACCTTTTGCTTGGAAAAGGTACTACTCTGCAACTATTATGGAAGCGGACTCTTGCAAATTCTAAATTAAATTGAATTGTCTTGCAGAGTACTCTAACAGTCCACAGACTATCAAGCATAACATCTTAAAATTATACATAGCCATTTTTCCAGAGGGTACTTTCCAAATCCAAACAGAAAAGCCAATTACCCTTATAACAACTGTAGTTTTAAAATATATAGTCTCAGTGTATGTACCATGGCGATGTACTCCATGAAAACAAAACATGAACTTAAATTAGCAGTACCCAAGCCATACTCTAAGCTTTAGCTGCGATGGCCAACTCTTCACTGCTATGGCTCACAAAGACAGTGTGAAAATAGGCAGTAGAAACATACGTATATTGCTTCACTTCAAAATGTGCTGGGAATCAAAACACAGAGAAATTAAAGTCAATTTAAGATCATCAACTGACTCAATGCTATCCCTGTTGCTCTGCCTTGCTGCTAGCAGCTCAGTACATGCCATACTGCACGCACAGAACACGTCAGTTGAGCCCGAGGCTGGCCAAGCTAATAAATTTTCCCAGTACTTGAAGTGCCATAAAGTTAAAAAAAAAATCCAACACTAAAAATGCCTGAGAAGATGACCAAAACAGAAATGCACACACAAGCAAATTCAATGTCAGGGATGAAACTGCTGCTGATGCAACAAGGCCTGATGGTCTCAAGTTGATCCATATGGCCAGTTACCTGTAACACAGGTCCTGGATCTTAAGGCTGGACCCAGGCCTGCACCCTTAGCGCCTGGCAGACTTCTCTAACTTGGAGACTGACTCCATGCCAAAACAACACAGGAGCAGCGTAGCTACATTTGCTTGACACTGAGCCTAAGTTAATAAACACTGCTGGGTCTGAGGAGCCTGCAAGGCCCCAGCATGAGCATGTTCACATCTGCCACAAGTGATGTTGAGAAAACGAGTGTTGACTGCAGACATGGAACTGACCACCAGCTCAACTCCTTCCTCACCTAACTTCTCTGTGCAGGGAGGAAGGAGGGGGGACTGTGGACGGAATCATTCTCTTTCTAGAAATTGTTTCAAGGCATATCAGTCCAGTTAATTTATACTGTTTATTCTTCAATAGGCTCTGGTATTGGAATCTCTTACATATGACAGTAACCTCTCAAATTCTGATGCAGATTTCCCTACTCCATGGTGACAATGAAAGACATCTTACACCAGAGACTACTAATGCAGTTTTTAATCTAAGAAAAAAAAAATGGAATAAAGCAACAATGCTGTCACTGCTGCCCCAGTTACAGAGCCACGGGCTCTAACTGAACAATAATTTAGCCATTTAGAGGACTGAAAAAAAGTACACAAAATGTTATAAAACCTATAGTTCATATTGACTTTAGAAAGAAATCCACACTGCACTATCTTTCGTCTCCCAATAACGCAGTGGATCCAAATCAGAGTGAAGAAAGGAAGCAGGTAACTACAAGATAGCAGTCCATCTAGAAACCAGAACACAGCAAATGTGCTGCACAGGTCAGGATGGAGGGAGACCTTCCTATGGGACAGAGGAGGTACACGTGTTCTCAGGAGGCAAACGCTCCAAATTTCAAATCCAGACAAGACTACCACTACATGCAAACAAAGAGGCTCAAACATTCTGGCTTTTACATGTATCAGAGTGAAGAGAGAGGAGTATATGGTTGAAGACACTTTTAAACAAAGAAATAACAAAAAAAAGACAAGAACCCATGAGGTTCTTGAGGCAATGACCAGTTTTATATCTGGAAGACAAAAAGGCATCTGAAGCAGCATGTGAAAACTGAACTCAGATGCATGGCATCACTCAAATTTCTTCCTTAATTTTTAAATTACTTCTCAGAAAGTCAGACTACCTCAATTTGACACACATTCAGAATTAGCTACAGCCACAACACAATAACATCACAACATCATGACAGCACATCTCTATTTTAGGGTGCTGTCATCTGAAATACTGAATGTATGGCTCTATCATGTGATCCTAAATATATTTACTTATGCTCTCTGCTTCTTATCAAAGTATTTTTGACAAGAAATAGGGGTCTCTTAGCAATCTAGTCACATTACTAGAAATCTCGATGCCCAAAAAGTTTTGCAGATGCTCGAGTCTTTCAATACTGGCAGCTCATGTTCTAGCAATCCCGGCCCTTCACAGGTGCCTCCAGGAGGCATACACAGACTTTCATTTAAGAAAAAAAAAAAAAAAAAAAGAAAAAGAAAAATATATTCTTGCTCTGCTGCTGCCTATTCCTCCTGAGAGTATATACAGTTCCAACAGCTCTCTGCATCACAGAACACCCACAACTTCTAAGACCAAATGCATATCAGTATTTTATTTGGGAACACTTGTTCTTTCAGCTGAAATTTATCATCTGTGCTAAACAAGCAGAAACAAAAGTCATCCTCAAGAACTCAAATATGCTAACCTAGGAGAAAACACTTTACAGGAACGCAAAAACACTGTGGCATTACTACAAGGATTAATAAAACATTCTATTTAAGGAAGTATAGGCATACAGTAATTTAAAGTCAAATAGGCAAATTACTCCCATCTACGGCTACTTGAGTTTTTTGTTTCTTTAAAGAATTAGGAAAATACAAAAGCCCTTTTGCTAGGAGTAAGCTGCAGAGGAGAAACACTTCACGCTGAGAAGGCTCACTGCATTTGACATTTAAGCTAGTGCTTAAATTATATATATATATATATATATATATATATATATATATATATATATATATATAACATGCTATTTAGAACAAACCTGCATTTATAAAACCAAGGAATACAACACTGAACACTTCCTATTTTTCATGCCCACGCAGAATATGATTAAATGTGTGGTAAAAGTCAAGTGTGGTTTCAGTGTTTATTTTGAAAATATGTTTTACACCCACTTCAAGTAAATCATTTTTATCTTCTGTAATAGTTTCAGCCTTTCAAATTTGGCAAAGATTGATTCTTTTCCTACGTTTTGAATGGGACTGAGTGAACAGAGCTGTTTTGCTCATTAGCAGTAACTTCAATGGAGCCTTGTGTTACCAAAACAGTCTATCTTTGTCTGTGCACTAGGATCAGCAACTGATGCAAGTACAGCTTTAGAAGTAGCTTGTTGGCTACCTGCTGCTGCAGACCCCTGAGGTACTATAGAACAGGATAAGAAGAAAAAAATTAACCTGGATAATAGCTGTTAAATTTTTCCCTTGTTTTTTTCCAAAGGAAATTTCGAAGAGCCTTATCCCTTAACAGCTGAACACAGTATCAAAAGACTGAGTTTTAAGAACTATTTAAATTTTAAAATACCACTGTGTATCAAAAACTTAAGAGCACTCAATTTACACAACAGCACGGTATATTTTCATTGCATGAGGAAATATTGATGTGTCTAAAGGTAGCTGAATGGCAGTGCAATGGTAAATGTCAAATTGCATTCAGTTCTCACACCCTGCTGTGCTTCACTAACACAAAGCATCTTTGGAAGGGCTGCTACTACTTACAATCCTTCATATGGAAACAGGCTGTCATGACTTCCATCCTATATATAGGTAATGCTTAAACTATCAAAACAGCAGTGCACCTTCCCATTTTCCCTAATTCTTGACATTTTATCACAAAAGATTGAAGGCAGAGACTCTCCACCAGTCCACATAATGCTCAAAAAAGACCACAGTGACAGTGCTCTGAGTAATAGGAAAGGATGCTATGGTCATTTGAGTCAGAAACCTGAGCAAGGGAAATAATTTTTCACAAAAAACAAAATCTTTGCTAGCTGCACAGAAAGTGAAGACCAAACTACACAAGAAGCACCAATTCGTACCTCTCACTTAGCTTGGCCATACCTAGCGGGAAGGCAACCTGTGTAGGTAAATTTGGGGGGTGGGCTGTATTCCTGAATTAAAAAAAAAAAAAAAAAAAAAAAAAAAAAAAAAAAAAAGGGGGCCATTCTGCTTTAAAACAGATACAAACCAGCATCATCTGAATTAAACTTGACTCTTAATTCAGAGATACATTAGCTGAACAAACCAATAAGCTGTCAACTATTAAGCCAAAAGCGAACAATAACATGCTTAGACTGCATCACTGCAGAATGATTAAATTTCTACCACTACTACCTTCCCCTATAACCTAATGTGAACTTCATGTATTTAAAAAAAAACTTGGAACTGCAGAGATGCAAGCAAAGGGACAGTCTCATCTGTAGAACTTTCATATTCTACTGATTAACAAACAGAAGAAAGTTCTTTTTATTTTCAGGCAAAATTCTATTGCTTCTGTTTACTGAATACACTGCACATTCATTTTTGCTGGTAAGTTCCAAATTACTGAAGAATTACTTTCTTCACTTCTGGTAAGCAGAGAGCGACATCTTGAATTATTTCTTAAAGACAAATCATACAGGTTTTTGTGGAAAATTCTTCAAGAGCTCACCATGGCTCAGGGCTCCACAGTGATTGGCGCTAACCAAATGAAATTGAAATAGACATGATTCAACAAGTAAACCAAATAGAAATAAAAAAGGGCTGTGTAAAATTTTTGTAAACACTTTGCACTTGTCTTTAAGGTTGTGGTTCCACAATCATTTTTATGATGCAAGTACTAACTTTAGCAGTCTATATCTCCTGTCTCCATGCTATGTCAGTACTGTCCTGGCACTCTGCAAACTGTTTTTACAAAAAAAAAAAAGAAGTAATCCTATGAAACAGATTTCAGTCTGTCTGTGCTTACTGCCAAAGTACACAAATCCTCAGTGATTCAAAACAAGTGAGAAGGAACAGCTAGAAGTGATAGGCTCCTGAAGTCACAGAATCATAGATTCACACAATAATCATCTAGTTTCAACCCCCTGCTATGTGCAGGGTCACCAACCACCAGACCAGGCTGCCCAGAGCCACATCCAGCCTGGCCCTGAATACCTCCAGGGATGGGGCATCCAC